ACTTGTAAACGCTACGAATTTCGATACTTTCGAACATCTATGTATATGCAACGCGTACAAAAATTGCGTGCTAGACTATGTATATAATGCTTCAAAGCTTTCCGAATGTTCTTCTGCTGCATTTTCATGAAGAAAATCAATAAGCATCATTCGCTTCATCATCAGATCCTTCGTCATCGCGGCGATAAATTAATCCTCCTCCATGGCGTTCATAGCCTGATCCGTGCCCATCGCGGCTATAACTTGATTCTCCATGGCTTCGATGACCCGATTGCCCTTCAGAGTGGCCATAGCCTGATCCTCCTTCATAAAAGCCATGACCTGATACTTCTCCATGGCGACTATTGCCTGATCGTCCTCCACGCTGTATATGAGCAGTTCCTCCACTAGGGCGGCCATAACCTAGGTTAGCTTCACGGCGGCCATAACCTTAAATTTTATACTTTAGGTATTACTTTATTAAAGAACCCTAATAATGCCATTCTTAACGGTCTTTTAGCTCAGTAATTCGGTTAAGTAAAATTTTTGCGAGAGTATCATTTAACATAAAAATTTTCAAAATTTAAAATTTATATTTAAATACCAAAATTGTTGTTTTCTGTAGTATTATTTTCACTTTCATCATCACTTGCAGGGTATGAGTGTTCAATTACTTCTGCTCCTGCAAATAATACTAAGTGGATTAAAGATTAGGGCTGTCTGTTTCACAAAATTCTTCGGTTAACCGAAACCGACCAACAAACCGAGCCGAAAAGCTTCAGTGTTTCGGTTTGGTTATGTTTGAAACCGACAATCCTATTCAAGATTGTTTTGTATAGAGTAATACAACTGAAAATAGATTCAGTCGGCCAATGTTGGCTAATAATTCTAGTTGAGTCGTGGTTAGACCTAAAAACCTCCGACATAACAAATATTACACTTATCTTCAAAGCTAGAATATTTTCTAAAGTTTTGTCTGTGTTTATTATCAACGATTTCAAATGAAATTAAGCATAAATAGGATCAAACTCTAGAAAATATCCTAAACAGGAGATAGCATTTTTAATCCAATAACCAGCAATCTCTACATATACGATAATAAAAATTTTAAAAATACGTTCATTCCTGTTATGATGGTTTTGATTAAAATTTTGGTGACGGTAGAATAATGCCAGTTCAGCCGGAGTAGTTTCTTCATCGCGGTTAAATCCATAATGCTGATAACCCCGAGGTAATCCTTCTCGTTGTCGATCAGATTGATTATTGCGCGGAGGGACCGATCCTTCTCCATTGTAGCCATAGCCTCAAATTTTATAATTTATTATGTTATATAACTCTTAAAGTTTCGCTATGAATGATAATATTTTAATTCATATTTGTCCTTGGAGCTTATTTAGGTTCTTGTTGATCTACACTGATTAGATGTGCTCTTATATAAAAATGACATTATAAGCTAAAGCATTAAAAATTTGTGTTTATAAACATTTTGTTTGTTTTGCTTATTGCTTTTTTTTTCATTTTCACCCAAAGGCATACGAATTTTCGTAGTTACCGAAGAATTTTCGGTTAATTTTTTATCTTTATGAGAATATTGGTTGCAGTAATTCCAGTGAATTAAATCCCTGAATATTTTAAATATCTAGTTCATATCCTATTTAAATTAAAACCCACAAAAATATCCTCCTATCAAGATTATAATAGCATATCGCAAATAATTAAAATATCCTTCAAATTACCTTGCCTGTTTCCTCTATACATTCCTCCCGTCAAATAAAATAGATTGAAAAAAGGAAAAAGGAAGATTGTCAGAATTGACAAATTCATCTTTTTTAGTCTAAATGTATATTGTTATCGTATTGTTCCTAATAGAAACACTTGTGTTTATTAGAAACATGTTCTATTAGGAAAATTCGGGGTTCCGTTGTTCCTTTGGCTGGGTCTCTTTGGTTCTTGTCTTATTGCTTTGGCTTACTATTTGGCTCAATTATTTTCTTAATTATTGGACTTATTTAATTTGAAAAATAAATATTTTTAAGTTGGTTGGAAGTTTTTTGTTGGAACTAAGCTATCAGAATTTGTCCCTAGCATTCGTCTCTTCAGAAATAAGTTACATTTTTAATGAACCCTTCATTAACTTTGTGACAAGAAAAATGCGTTACTTTGATGTTGAAACTATAAAAAAGCTTAAGTTATGCCATTTATAAATAAAAAGTTTTTTGAATACCTAGGCCTTATAATGATATAAAATATAATGATATAACCCTTATAATCGGACAGAACCTTGACTCGTAAAACTGTGTTTTTTAAGAAATAATGCCGAATAAGACATGTAGACCCGTTAAAATTTAATCAAACAAATGCCGCGGACTGAACTTGAATGTCAAACCCAAGCTCATAAATAAGACAAAGGAAACTTTAATTTGAAGTCTAGAAATAATTTTATTTTAAATTTATTTGAATTTAAAAGATGGGATAGTGAATAAACGCGATAAGATTAAGAAACAGACGGTATGCCCTGAATTCTTAGAAAACGGAATTCGGAGTCAAACCTTCGATATATACATATATGTTTTTAATTCATTAATAAACATTTAAATAAAAATAATATTAAAAATATATAATTATTGACTATCAAATAGCTATTATTATTTGCCCTATCTCTCATGAAAAAAATTTTTCTCATTTGAAAATAAAAAATACATCCCATGATTCCCTCTTTTCATGATTCCCCCTCCTCCCCTCCTTTCCCGCGATTCCCTCCTCTCATGATTCCCTCCTCCTCCCCTCCTTTCCCGTGATTCGCCCTCTCGTGATTCCCTCTTCGTTATTCCCTCTTCTTTCACGCAATTATAGCATGTATGTGGAAATATGCGAGCGTTTCTTAGAGAATCTCATGTTAAATAAATGAGCGCGTCTTTTTGTCGGCATAAAATTCCTCTTAAATAAAGTTTTTGTATAAACAAGAGGACAACAATTCAGAGGTTTCCGACAAATCAAATCGGAAAATTTTTTTACATTGTCCATAGAATCCAGAATCACAAAATCATTTTCAAGGTTTGTTTAAAATTGGGGCTACAACAGTCATTTTGATTCAAATTAAATTTCAAAACGTGTCATCGATATAAAATCTTCAGATAAAATCGTCAGTTTTAGAAACAAATCTATTTTCTATAATTGAGCGGTCTTATCTTCCTGACAGCCGCATTCAATAGAGAGGCACGCACTATTATAAATATCGAAATATAAAGTCGCCGGCTGTTATTTAGAGAAAATAGCTATTATGTATTTATTTAATCAAAATACATCAAAAAAAATCAAGCGTCCTTTAATGATGAATATGTATTTTAATTAATATTTTTTTATTTTTTGAAAATAAAAAGGATCTGTAAATGAATTAAAGTTGCTTCCAAGGTTTATCCGTTGTTATAAAGATTCGTAAATTTATAATATAAATATATATCGACTTTAATCATTCTTTTGTAGTAAAATATAGCAAAACTAATCAAGCGGTGTGTTGGAACTCCGCCTGAATTTTTTCATCCACCAAAAAAGACTATGACAACTCATCCTGCTCCAGCACGTACAGTTCATAAAAATGATGCTTATGTTGATGGTAATCGAAAATTATTTGGAAATTTTTAAAAATATTTTAAAATTCTGTTTAAAATTATAAATTTTTTCCCAGACGATATTTTAATGCTAGGAGAAGAGGATGTTCAGAGTAGCTCAAAACAGCCAAAAATATTTTGGAGTGGATAATGTCAGAGAAAACAAGGTTATATGGAAAATTTTAAAATTTTTCCAGGCGCATCAATCTTTACTAAAACAATGGCTGATGCTCCAACATTTATTGGAAGTGGAATGTAATTTGAAGGATTTTTTTGTAAATCAAAAAATTTTATTATTAAGGGCTGCAAATCGTCCAACAATCCCTTCAAAATTGACTGGAAACAAAAATTTGTAAGACGAAATTGCTGCAGCATTTAAATTAATTATGACGGGTGCAGGGCCTTCCTGAATTATGACAAGAAAAGGGGGATGGACTGTCAAACACTCTCTGATGTAACAATAATTGAGTGCTATATTATTACGTGTATTAACCTTTAAGTTAATTTTTGTCGTTATAAATGGTTCGGGTATTCCGTCTTGGACTTTCTTCATTTTGGAATAAGTTTGAGGTTTAAATTAATTTTGTGTCTTTGTTCATTTTTATAGGTATAATGTCAACTTATTACATTATTAGACCTATTTCTTTTATATTCCAAAAGTTCACGAGTTTCTTGGTAAATTTTTATTTATTTTTAACATTCAGAACGTGAAGTTTATTTGTAGAAAGATGGTCTTTCTGATGTTGTGCCAACTACTACTGATCAACAACAATCTTATGTTAAAAATGGTGAACATCCCCAACAACAACTACATAATACTGAAAATACTGGTGGTGGTGAACAACATAAGAAAAAAGATAAAGTTAGCTTGCCCTTACATTAAAAATTTTTTTAAATTACATCATCTTAAACTTTTTATTTCGAAAAATTTAGTTGTCGCTTTGTCTAGTAAATATTCTAAGAATTGCACTTTACGTTAACGACATTTCCGACCATATTCTTTTATTTATTTACTTTGCACTTGATCTATTAATTTAGTCTATAAATAATTAAACATCTAAAGTGTAAATATTACCGTAAATACTCGAGTAGTACCTCTTATTAGCAATCTCTCGCATGTTGTGCTTATATTAGACAGCTTTCCTGAAGTAGAGTTTCAAGTTTAAAAATATAATTTCTTTTAGCCTCTAAGGCTTTAGAACCGAGCTAATAATCTATTAAATAAAAATTTCATCATACAATTAAATATTTTTGAAATATTATTTTATTTTGGCAAATGTTTTTATTTATTTTTAGCTGTCTAGACATTAAATAGACAAAATTTACAATAACAAAGGACCCCATCTTATTGAGTAATACAATATTTATTGAAAATTAGCTAAAAAGCTCTAAAATAATTTTAATTTTAAAAGGATGGGGTTGTCAAATTTTGTTATTTTTCTTTTCTTTATTTTTAATTTATTTAATTTAACATTTTGCGTGGAACCTAAAAATAATGGAGGTGATAATTGACAATTAAATTTAAATTTTTGTGATAATTATCTGAAAATATTACATAAGGTTCATCAAATACTCGACCAAATTCTCTAACAATTTTTCAAGAAAAGAATGTGGATGTTCCTCCTGGTTTTGCTCCACGTCCTGAAAACTCTCCTCCACAAAGTTTGTTATTAATTAATTAAACCAATAAATAATATTATAATTAAAAGTTTTATAATGTAAATTAGGGGTGTACTCCAAACGCCTGGGGGTGGATGTGTCGGAGTACGGGGTTTAAAATTGTTCCATGGCGAGGAGCAAAATGGTCGAGGTACGGGTAGGGGTATGAGGTTTTAAGGAAAAAATTTTTAAAAATAAAATGTTGCGAAAATAATTCGTCTGATAACTAAACCCTAAAGCACAATTATAGTGAAAACATCCGAATGAAACATCAAATTTTCAAAAAATTCTCAACAACAAAACATATATGCTCCTTCTACACCCTTTTTAAAATTAAACATTCTTTTTTCCCAACCAAAAAATGTTTAAACCTCATCCAAATCTATGACCTTATTATTGCATCTGTTTCGCAGCATACCGAACACTAACACTTATCGTTCGGATGTAGACAGCAATGATTATAAAATCTCTTTTTAGATTATCAAAGTCATGGAACGACTAGAGAATACAGTGATCGACTTCAACAATTTATTCGACCCGTTATTTTAACTCCTAGACAAAATTTTCAATCCAGTGATAAGAATATCCGAACGCTTTACGATGGTAAATTAAAATATTTTGGACCGCATTACATAATTTCCTCATTCCACCTCATTCCTTAATTTAAAGATCATTTTTAGATCTCGTAAAGACTCCGTCGGAATAACAGGGCAAAAATCAATCGATCTCAATTTTTTGATTCCGGCCAAAAGTTTACCGGTTCTCTTTCACTAATATTTTAATAAATTTAAAAAACTTTATTCAAATTGGTGGATACGGGGCACCACGTGGGATATACTACTTAACACCTTTGGACAAAACGTCACTAGCTCTTGTTAAAAGACTGTTAACATTTAATAAATAATTTAAGGTGAGGAAAGAGCACCTAATTTTAATTACTTTCAATCTGGACTAAATATTTCATTTGGTTATATTTTAAATTAATTTTTAAAAATAAATAAAATTAAGGGGGTCAGCCGGATAGCGGAGCTGGCAATATTATACAATTTAATCAACCTTGTAATGTTAATCAGCATCTACCAGGTCACTAAAAATAATATAAAACATTTTTATAATTTAGTTCCTCCTGGGTATAATTTACCTGGAACTGTTAAAAAACATGCTAATCCATGTAGATCATTACCGTATCATTCCTTTAAAAATTACAATGCAATTGGAGTGAGTAAGGGTAAAGGAAAGCAGGTTGATAAATATGGCGGTCAAAAAGGTGAAGGAAGTGGTGAACGTGGTTCTCGTGGTTTTCCTATATCTAGCGGATTAAAAATGAGAGGAGATGGAGAAGATAAAGAAGTGCCTGTTGCAGAAACGGCCGCTCAAAGAGGACAGAACATTAATGGAACTACTACAAAAGAAGAAATTCAGCAACTCATTAATAATTTAAATAAATCTCTTCAAGCTAATCGTCGAAAAAATTATATCGATAAAAGAAGATATAAACAATATAAAGCCAATATTGAAAAAGAATATAAGATAAGAAGAATTGAAAGTAATGAGTTTTTGAAAGGAATAAAAGATATTGCGAAAAAATCAAGAAAAGATGGGGAGGATTTTAAACAGCAGAAAATTTTAGAATTTAATTCTATGATGGGGAATGATAATAAATAAAAATAATGATAAATCTAAAACTGTCTTTTTGACTATCTGATAGTGAAAAACAGGCTATTAAATTTAAAAGAGGCTATTCAATTTTATATAAATTTTTCACATTTAGTCGTGAATGCTTAATGTTTTTGTCTTTACACTTTATACCAGTCAAGTAATTCATTGTATTATAATTCATTGTATAGAAGCGTTATATCTAGGGAAAAATAACCTAAAAAGAGAGTTTAACATTCATGGACTAAAAATACAAGAAACAGAATGCATTCGCGATCTTGGAATTTTAATTGATTTTAAAATATCTTTTAATAACCATATAAATATGTTATAAAAAATGCATATCTAGATTTTTCTATCGTTGGAAATCCAACTCTTCTTTACAATGACCGCAGATTTTAAGATTCTTTGTGATTTTCATGCAAACGTTTTAGCATATTTAGGGTCTAACTTGGATTAACTCAGCTTTGCTAACATAAATAAATAGTAGCCTTCAAGTTTATATTACCATTTTATTAAAGTGATTACTCCCCATTTTCGCGATCAAAAAGATATTAAACAAATTAACGAAGACAAAGAAAGCAATTATAACTTTAAAAAACTTCTCCTCTCTTTAAAAAACTTTTTTTACTTGATTTAACCACAGAGATAAATTTGCTATTTTTAATTTAAATCATATATTAGCTTAAATTGAGCGAATATTAGGAGCGAATATTAGGGAGACCGAGAGATTACGGAGACATCAAGCGGTAATCGGAAATTTTTCCAAAATTTCGGAAATCGGAAACCGGAAGGGATAAAACGTCGGAACTCGGAAGTAGGAAATCGGAATTAACTCAAACTTGCTAAAACATAGTTGGGATTAAGGAGACATAAATAATAATAACTGTATAATAATAAAAGTACTATTATTTTATTTAAATTACACCAAGCTCTATAAAATATCTTTAAACTTAAGTATTTGCAAAAAATTAAGGATAATTTTATAAAATTTGGATAAATAGTTTAATATTTTAGGAAAATGTTTTTAATATTTGTTTGGCTACTTGAAGTTAACCTAAATTTTTCGGAATTTTCGTCGGAGTGAATTTCTTGGTTTATTCGAAAAATAACACAATATTAAACTATGTAAGCCTATAAAACTATAAAATACGAATGAATCTCGTCAAAATATTTCATTCGAAAGATCTCTTCTGACAATGTTGACCGACACTAAAATCGTCCCGATTCAATCATTCTGAACAAAATTATGATTAATTGAATCTCGCTGAAATAACTGTTTTTGCGATGATACTTAGGGGGAAGTTCGGCATTTCAAAACTGAAAATCAGTAGAAATGGATAGGTTTATGTTATTGTTGTAGCAGAATCCAACGATCGCTGACGAATATTCCGGTTTTTGACTTTGATACGAATATTCCGCTGCAAACTAATATTCCGAAAATTTAGAAACGAAAGTTCCGAAAACCTGGAACCGAAATTCCGAAAACAAGAGTAAACTGTATATCGAAAATTTTAAAGTTTTAATCAAATCCAAAAAATCGAAACAATTTGAATTTTAAATAAGAAAAAAATGTTTGAAATTTTAACTGAGGAAAAGAGCGTCTAAATTGTCATGCTCTCCCAAATATCCGAAAATCAAAAAATAATGAAAAATCTAGAAAAAAAATTTTTTCAATATCATGTTCGTTATGATCATCTTTCATGCTTTACTGTTGCCCATTATGACGACGAGCTAAAATAATAAATAACATATTAAGTGCATGTCACATATTTAGCGCCTCATAAAAGCTTAAGAGTCCGGTAAACTGCATATTGAAAAATCACAATTAGAAATCCCGACCCTAAATACTGGTTCCTGCACTTACCGTAAATGCTGAAATAATTACCCTCTCTCTAATAATTACCCCCTAGTTATTTTACTCAAACTTTAAAAATATTTGATTTATTTCTTGAAGAATTACTATTTGAAGAATTACTACAAATTTGATTATTGTAACATTTTAAGACTCAATATCAAGAAATAAATCAATTTCGCCTCAATTGGATTGAGATATACCCTAAATCCAGCATATCCTCCCTAATAATACCCCCTTCAGCAAAGAGGTTGAAACAATAATTACCCAGGGTAATTATTTCAGCATTTACGGTATATTTGATTGATATTTATCAAAAAATATTTAAAAATGGAGCTTTCTTTTAATTGGAGCGCCTAAGAGTGTGTTGCACTCTTAGGGCCCAGCACCTACTAGCTCCAGTTAAAAAGGATTTCGGATATTCTTTTTACTATATGATAATATATCTGTTACTTGGTAGAGTATATCCTGGAACATCTCGAACAGTAGAAATTAAATTGGTGATATGCCCACGGTGTTGACCTAAACAGTAATAGTAGTAAAATAATTTAATAAATTTACCATCGTGCTGAGTTTGAGTAAGAATGTAAGATGGAGCTTAAAAATACACAATAATTTAGTTATTCAATGGACTTGAGAATATATTATGTTTAAAAATTTTCCAAATTAATCTATATCTCTGCTAATCTCCAGACCCCAAATAACTCAATTAATCTGTTAATTTTTATTAATACTTAATTATTAGGCCTAATTAGTTAAAAGCCAATTAATTCCGTAACGTTGAGCAAAACCAGGAGGACCGGCCAGATGAAGATTTTGCTGAGGATTTGAAGGCCCTTAAGGAATATTTTCATTGACTATTAATAAAATTGGAATTTTTGGACATGTATATACCGTATTTCCTCTAAAATAGCCTCCTCCCCAGTAAAATAATAAATTAATTCTGGCAGTTTGTTTTCAATGCAATCCTGCAGTCCCAGTGATGGAGGTGCCAAGCATATAGGCTATTTAATTCTTAAGGATGTGCAGTAGGCTGCGTGGTGTAATGGCTAACACATCAGTCCGGTCTACTGAAGATGCTGTTTCGCACCCAACCGCCGATTAACCTTTTGAACTCTCTAAAGGGAGAAATAGCTATAGCCAGCTGCTTTAACAACTATCTTTCGGTTTTTTCATCAGATTCTGTTTTTTAATAATTAGAATTTCCATTACCTTGTTGAGGAGGCTCAATAGGATTTGATTCCAAAATTTGGATCCCTGAATAATATTAATGGTTTAAATAAATCAAAATAGACAAATTGTAAACTGACCATGGCCACGAGAGTTACGGCCTCTGTTGGCTCTGCCTGCCCGGCGTGTGTTTTGTTCAAGTCCAATATTTTGACTTCCTTCAATATTATAAAATTAATTTTTATTAAAATCCATGTTAAGGTAAGAATTGCTAATAAAAAGTAAGAAGTGAAAATAAGATAATTTGTGTTAATAACTATCTCGGTATTACAGCCCTAATTTTTAATACCGGTCCTGTTGACAAGCATATTTTTGATTTCTAAAGTTTTGTGGCCATCCTTGTTATGGTAACATCCACCAAAGTGGCTTATTTAAAAAAGTGCTAGAGGTGCTATTCTTATAGTGGAATACGGTATTCATTTAAATATATTAAAAAACTACCTGTAGGGTAATCTGGCACTGCACGTATAGGCTGAGCAGCAATAGGTACATCTAAGTTTATTTATATAACAAAAGATACTTTTGTGTTATCCGCCCCCCCCCTTTTCCTTCTCAAGCCTTAAATTCTAATTTCTATTTGGATAACAATATGGTCAAAAGCAATTGATGTGCAAGGATTAAAAATCATTTATTAAATGATTTTTATATACTAGAGTTGACAATATACTAGTAGAGTTGACCGTCATTAAGGTCCCAAAACAAAATTGTTATCGGTCCCGATACCGGCCTCGGTATCTGGATTGGCCAAAACCGTATATGGATTCCTATTTCTTGCTAATACCGAAATCCCGATAACGATCGGTATATCAAAACATAGTTACGTGACAGTATCGATGGATTTGGAGGTATTTTCAGTTTTTTTTTGGATTCGAAGGTTATTGGGGAGTTGGTGTTAGGAGGGATTTTGGTATTAAAAAGGGCGTGTGGGGGAATAATTAAATAAATTATTATTTCTATAAATAATAATTTAAGCGCGAATTCCCCAGATAATTTTAAATAATTTCAAAAAACTGCAAAATCTCATGCATAGAATTAAAATTACCATGTTGAGTAAATGATATCATATTGTTGTCTGCACCATCCGACTGACCCCCTTAATTGTAATAATTTACAATAAATTCAATAATTTTTAGAAAAATTAATTTTAATTCTAACCAAATTGAATCTCTCCGCCTCGTGCAAAGTAACCAAAATTGGAAGCTCTTTCCTGCCCTTAAATAAAATTATAAGTTAAATCCTGATTTCTCTTGATTAGTATTGGTCACAGTTAGGAACACTACTCTAGATAGAAAAATATGGCCGTAGATATATTTAGGTAATAAAATGGTGTACGACAATTGCGGATACGCATGTGCGGATGCGACAATTGCGGATTAAAATTTTTTTTTTAATTTTAAAATTATTGAAATGATATTACGTTTTTTGTCCCGGCTGTCAGCTTCAGACTTCTGACGATTTCCGAATCATTTTTAGACAGATGTGTCATTGAAAACTTTAAAAAATCTTAAACTTTTAAAAAATTTTATATCCGCAATCGTCGCATCCGCACGTGCGTATCCGCAATTGTCGTACCGCCAATAAAATTAAGCCTTCCCGCAGATATTTATGTTTACCTCCGTAAAGTGTTCTGATATTGGAAGGTCTAGATTTGATATCTTGTCTAGGAGTCAAATTGACTGGTTGGAGATGTTGTTGCATAAGGTCGCTGTATTGTCTAGATGGTCCACGACTTTGATAACCTAAAAAATATTTTATGGTAGATTCAAAGTTTAAAGATAAACTTCCTAGGAAGGAAAATAAATTAAAATATATTCCCCCTAAAACAAATAGAGTACCGTATTTACTATATTAGAAATGCCGGCTTTTATATTTTTCAATCACCCTACAAAGGGTCTCGTGCCCGCTCAACTCATCGAATCCTTAA